AATTTTTCTAGATTACTTCTGGTGAGTATATACAGATGAGTGGGCGTGCTGGTAGGCGTGGTCTGGACGAGAGAGGTATTGTAATGTTAATGATTGATGAGCAGATGGACTCCACCATTGGCAAGACATTACTGAAGGTACATAGTAGTTAATGTAAATATTAATAATACTTTTATTTCTTTAATTTATTTAAATACATATGCATGTATAGTTTTGAAGGTTTTTTTAATTTATGGGGCCCCACATCTTTTTTATTGATCAATTTTAACACTTCAAAACAGCCTGTCCTATAGTATTAGAAATTACATGTGTAATGATTACATGTATTTTATACCGTATATGATATAATATGTCATATTTTGTGAGGATTAAATTTGCAATTTTTTAGTTTTGGAAAAATTCATGAAATCAAATAGCATACTGATTATAGTAGGTGTGGTCATTACATTAAAATCAAAATTTTTATTCACAAATACAAAAACTTAGCCAAATTGTAAAATTTTACACCCACAAACTATAATGGTGTATACAGTATTTGTAATTTTCTTTACTCACTTTATAGATGTACATGTACACTTATACTGAATACAATGTACATGTACATACATTTTATTTTGTATTTTGTCTTCTTTAGGGTCAGCCTGATCCTCTCAACAGTGCCTTTCACCTCACCTACAATATGGTCCTTAACCTCTTGAGAGTTGAAGAGATCAACCCTGAGTACATGCTGGAGAGATCCTTCTATCAGTTTCAGAATAATTCCACTATACCCGACCTGGAGGAAAGTGAGTTCTATAACTTTATCATTAAACTCTGGATTATCAATTTGTGGAATTTTTTTGTTAAAATAATTCCCCTCCTTAATGAATGCTTATCCCCAATACATGTACATATATATTCCAATTATAATTACTAAAATAATATTATAAATATTTTATTTTACATTTTAATGTTCTTTTGTGGATTTTTTTGCCTTGTTCAATCAAGTCCTGTGACATTCACATAACGGTCTGATCAAATTTTTGTTTTATTATTCCAGAGGTCAAAGTCCTTGAAAAGAAGAGAGATGCTCTGGTGATAGAGGATGAGGATAACGTGACCAGTTATTACAAGATGAGAGACCACATCAGCAAACTATCAATGCAAATGCAGGTACTAAAATTAAATTTACTAAAATTCCATTTAAATTGATTTTATTTTTGCAAATTCTACCACGTGTGCCATTTGGGTGCCGTATTAAATTGATTTTTGTGGATTTTATTTTCACGAATTAAGAAGGAATTTGCAAAATTTGCAACCTACGAAAATAACCACTTATATGGTATTATTAGTATTTTTGTTTTGTGTAGAGGTTCATCGTAAAGCCAACCTATTGTATCCCATTCATGCAGCCTGGTAGACTCGTTAATGTCATTGTTGATGGTGCTGATTTTGGCTGGGGAGCTGTAATTAACTTTCAAAAGAAGACATCACAAACAGTAATGATACATACACGTACATGTACATGTACATACAGGCACTACATGCAGTACGTATAGAATATGGTTTTATAATTTTTTTTCTGATAGATATACATGTTTTTATGTTAATTATCAAATTTGAGCTGATTGTGATCAAAATTAGATTTTTTTACTAATATTATTTTTCTCAGAAATTGAGCCAAAGTCCCTATACTATAGTACAGGATTGGCCAAACTTTGTCAAATTGAAAATTGAGATTTCTCCATTTTTATAATTTATTCTGATGCATATACATGTACTTATGTTGTGTAGAAAGTTTGAGCTGATTTTGATCAAGATTGGATTTTTTATGAATTTTTAAAGTTGCTCCAAAATTGAGTCAAAGTCCCTGTGCTGCTCTTTGGCCAAATTTTGTCAAAAATGAAAAGTAATGAATTTTTCATTTTTATAATTTTTTCCTGATGCATATACATGTACTTATGTTGTGTAGAAAGTTTTAGCTGATTCCGATCAAATTTGGATTTTTTTATGAATTTTTGAAGTTGCTCCAAAATCAGGCCAAAGTCCCTGTGCTATAGTACATTACA